TATACCTAATTATACCTAATTATATATATATATATATATATATATATATATATATATATATATATATATACACACGCTAAAGTGAGCGGGCGCGTAGAATTACTAATCGTGCGCTCCGGCTAGGCCGTCTGCAACTACTCGGTGAATCAACGACGCTCCTTCCACCTAGTCATAAAACTCCTAGCAGATATAGTAATAGACTTAAAATGGTTACCCGCCGCATGTACTGGTCCCTTACTCCGCCTAAATCAGGCCACCCACTTTTTCTTTCTTATGCATGGTCGTAAAACAATTAGGCCAGATAGTAATGACCCCTCAAAGAAGACTTCTCTAGTAAATGTAGTACGTACAATGGTTTGTTTGCTAAATTTAATGGTAAAAGCATGTGTTCCTTGTAGTACATGCCATAAAATAGTGGTACGTGGAGTGGTGGCTGGTTTGATAAATTTACTAGAAGATACGGTATATTACCATGGCATTTGTTTACATTACCTTGGTGTAGAAGAACCGTTCTAATAGGCATGCATTCTGTCATTACTATGTTTGAGATGTATTTTACGTTCGGTGGAGGATGCATGAGTTGGCTTATTACTAGGGCAAGCGAATAGCAGTAATCCTTAACTAGTTATTACCATTTGTAGACAAGGTTGTTACGTGTAGATGAAAGAAAAAAGTTGGTTGGCAGTTTGGCAGGGTGGTCCGGTGGTGCACGCACCAGGGTAATTGCTTTACGGCAGTTGGATGGTGCTAGTTTAGCGCCTGCGAGCATGCGCAGCCCAACCGGCGCGTAGGGTTAGTAATTCTGCGCTCAGGCATAGTTTAGCGCTACCATATATATATATATATATATATATATATATATATATATATATAACCAGAAATTCTATTTATATATTTGCATAACGTGTATAATATGTAGTACCGTAAGATATCAGTAAACAAAAAAGAATTAAATGGAAAACACAAAATTAAAAAAAAAAATCATGAACCCAAAACCCCCCAAACCTTTTAGTACCGGTTGGTGTTACCAACCGGTACTAAAGGGCTCCCCACCCCCGGCGCTGGCTCGTGCCACGTGGTGGCCCTTTAGCGGCAGTTCGTGCATAACCGGTATTGAAGGGGGGCCTTTAGTCCCCACCCTTTAGTGCCGGTTACAGAACTGGCACTAAAGGGCCTTACGAACCGGTGCTATAGCCCGGTTCTGCACTAGTGCTCCCTCAACCAACAAATATGTGTCAAAAGGCTTTTATTGTCAGTGGTGGTGTGGGAGGTGGAGCTAGTAATATGATATAGCTCTTTTTTTAGGGGATATGAGCTTTTTTTCTTTTTCTGCTGAGCTTATTATGAGTTTATACTGTGTTGTTCTTACACTATGTTATATAGGTGCTATTATAAGATTTCATATTTATCTGTATTGAGTTACTAGAAGATTAACACTTTTGTTTTCTCCAGGTGAAGAATGGCTGCTGCACTTGTTAGTTGTCACCGAGTCTGTCGCGTCGCATCAATGTGGTCGGTGGTGTTTATATGTTATCTGCAAAAAACTTATCGTGTCTTACTCAAGTATGTAATGTATTAAGATGCTTTTGAATATGTAATCTGGGGAATTTTGGCCTATACTAGTATTAGGTTGGGTTTCATGACTTTCATCATGTCTTACTTTTTTCTACATGTTGTGTGCTTGGCAGCTCATCTTTTGAGCCTAGACTTGTATGTTTTTCTTTGCTATTCAGCTGTTGTTTGAGAAGAATTTGCATGGCTGTGCTAACTGAATGCCAGGAAGTTGCTCTAGATTTTTTAGAACTTCTTGATCTGTTTATATGCTAGATCAAATCAGATCTGCACCCATTCGACCAAAACGAACCGTTGTAAGCATGGTTTTGGTCTTGATCTAGAAGTTATTTCTTAGACGTCTGAAATAATTGCTGTAGAAATTTGGTTGAGAGATACGGCACTTTATTTGCCCCGGGACTGGGAGTGAGGTTGCTGTTGCTGTCCACTTATTTTGTAGTGGTACATATGAGCCTGAGGACCGTTGTTTTGGCAGCGGCTGCTGAAGATGCGAGTCTATAGTCGCACTCAAAATTGGATTCTTAGCTGTAATTCTCTGTTGAGCTTCCTAGTCGTCTTGACCATGTTTTATACAACTGAATTTTCTTGCCCCCTGAGACTGATTGGTAGTTACTGCTGTCCACTGAATTCCTCGAGAGCTATGACTGAAATTGATCTCAGCTGGATTGATCTCTTACTCTGACTGAAATTCCAAGTTGCTGCAACGCTTATGTGACTGAACTTGATGGATTTTATTATTTTTTGTTTTTTGCCTTTATGAACTTACCCTGAGACTGAGGCTGCTACTGATGTCCACTGATTTTTTCATGGAAGGACTCGTCATTTTTGCAGCAAGTCTACAATCACATTCATGATTCTCCGCTGAAGATGCGGGACACATACGGCAGCTGAGTCTGCAACTGTACTGGTACTCAGAAGAACACATACGGCAGGAGGTCACATTCTTAACGCAGATTAAATTGGAATGCCGTGGCAATTTGTTCTCTGTCTACAAGTCGTTTTGATGTTTACATGTCTGAAGTTATTGCTGTAGAAATTTGGTTGATAGAGGCGGGACTTTCCTTGCCCTGAGAGTGAGGTGCCCTGGAAGTGAGGTTGCTGCTGCTGTCCAGTTATTTGTAGTGGTTCATATGAGCTAGAGGACTCGTCGTTCTCACCTGTTTACTGCTGAAGACGCGGGACTGGACGGCAGCTGAGTCTACAATCGCACTCGTAATTGGAGCGATATGCACGGCAGGAGGTTGCATTCTTGGCCTGTAGAGTAGTTTTCTGTGAACTCTGAGGTCATTTTAATGTTTTTTTATATGGCTGAAATTACCGCCGATTAAATCGGAATGTGTGTGACAGCAGGAAATCCAACTTAATTTTCTTACCCTGAGACTGAGGCTGCTGCTGCTGACCACTACTTTGGTCCATATATATACGAGACACTGGACTGCAGGTCTACACTCACATGAACACTGACAAAAATTCCGGAGATAAGGTAGAGAGCTATCCATGTACCGTGCCTCTGACTGAAATTCCGCAGCTCAATTTCTTACCCTGAGGCTGAGGTTGCTACTGCTGTCCACTGATTTCTAGTGGTCCAAAGGACTCCTCATTTTGGCAGCAATTTGCTTGATTATCAAGTCTACAATCACATTCATGGTTATAAGAACTCGGTCAGCAGAAATATAAAAAGTGAGCACGGCATGAGGAATTTGCTTGATTATCAAGTCTACAATCACATCCGCAGTCAATATGACAAATCCATCCGCAATCGTCTTCAACTCTCCATAGTCCATACATTGAGAAGAGTACGTTTGCTACAGGAGGAAGGCAACATATGCATACACTGAACCAGCTAGGTGCCCAAGCTTTTAATCAGTCACAAGGGTTCAAACAGGACAGGCTGGGCTGCCGTTTACAAAGAATGCAAAATTAGTTCATACAAAAGTTTCGACTTACGAAAGACTGGGACAGCAACAAAC